TGTTCAACATAATGACTTTGTTCGACTTTCAATCACAGGGGTGAAATGTTTTAAAAAAAAATAACAGGGTCTTTTGAACGAATTTTAATCATAAATACTGATATTTTGCCTGTAGCTTTATTTTAGATCACTTTTAAGGTTACAAGTGTGAGATTTATACCAGGTGAGCGATGCAGGCCCATTGGGCCTCTTGTTTCTTATTTATTACACTTACATGTAAACTGCTGTGTATTTCGATATTGTAGTGTATGAATATTCTCTCTATACAATTAAATGGAAAAAAATGACGAAAACATCTGAATCATTGTATTGTTTTCCATCTGTATTTCAGTCAGAATATCTTGGTTCTCTAAATAATCGGTCAAGACGAGCCCTATTTCACATGCACAGAGCAATTGTGGCAAAATGGCATCACTCCATTATAGAACCCCGTGTTAGGATGTCTAACAGGTGGAGTCATTGGAGGTCTGATGTACGCCATCGCAGTCTAGTAAGGATCATCGGCACCAGCTTACCACTACACCCAGCCAAAAGACTGAAGATACAAGTAAGAACGGAGCAATGGGACATATTCCTTCTTATAAATATATCAATCTATCCACACTTTGATTTCCGCAAGATATCTTACTTCAATATCATTTGATGTTGATAAAGCTTGGTATGCCTGTACCTTATATGAAGAGTTAGGCTAAGTTGAAACTTGAGCAAAATCTAAGAATGAAATAATTAACAAACTTTACTCTTATTGGCCAATTTCGGAACTTTAGTTTCCGCAAGATCATTTGCTTAAATACCTTTTGACTTATAAATGTGAATCTTGGTATGCATGTACAATATACAAAAGCTGAGGCTAAGATTGAAGTTTAGCACAATCCTCATACTAAATTAGCATACTGTGCTCTGATTGGTTGAGGTTTTCTGCACAATAAATTTGTCAAATATGATTCAATTCTGATGAACCTTGGTCAATATCTATATTATACAATGTCAAACCCTGAATCATAAAGGCGAGTAAAATCTGGAAATTCATTTATTAGCTTAACTACCATCTGATTAGTTGAAGGTTTCTGCACCTTAGTTAACTGTGACAGGATTCTTATGTCACTTAGTTAATATTCACAATTTGTCTAATAGCATAATCTGCCAGTAATTAATAAACAATAGAAATGTCTTAGGTTTTATTGATGTAAGTTTAATCAATTTTCGTATTATGAACAAAGGGAGACGATTCCTATGCAAATCAATTATTTTTAAGGATATATACATGTATATGAAACATATTGTATACCTTCAGCTTAAATTGGATAAGTAAAGTATGTTTTCTTCTTTCAACACATTCCAGGAATAGTTCTCAACTTTCCTGAGTTTTACAGTACAATATTGTTTCTTCTTTGCATTTCAATATTTTCATACATTTTGATGCAATAATGCATCAGAAGGATTTTAAGATATGAATATTGGCATGGAATGGGTATTTAATATTCCACATTGCAGGACTATTTTTTTTATCTCTTGATTTGTTAGAAATGTATTAAGCAGATATATTTTTCATTCATTATCAGAGTCATATGCTGAGACATCGAACACGTCAAGATAGCTGTGATAGTGATGTGTCTCTTTTTTCCATGACAAGCACTGTGTCATCTTCACAGGCTGATCTGATGTGGGTGGAGGAGGATTTAGGAGACAACTGTATAAGGGTGAGGTAGGTGGAGGAGTATATAGGGGACCACTGTATCAGGGGGAGGTAGGTGGAGGAGTATATATATAGGGGACAACTGTATCAGGGGGAGGTAGGTGGAGGAGGATATAGGGGACAACTGTATCAGGGTGAGGTAGGTGGAGGAGTATATAGGGGACCACTGTATCAGGGTGAGGTAGGTGGAGGAGTATATATATAGGGGACAACTGTATCAGGGTTAGGTAGGTGGAGGAGTATATAGGGGACAACTGTATCAGGGTGAGGTAAGTGGAGGAGTATATATATAGGGGACATCTGTATCAGGGTGAGGTAGGTGGAGGAGTGTATAGGGGACAACTGTATCAGGGTGAGGTAGGTGGAGGAGTATATAGGGGACAACTGTATCAGGGCGAGGTAGGTGGAGGGGTATATAGGAGACAACTGTATCAGGGTGAGGTAGGTGTAGGAGTATATAGGGGACAACCGTATAAGGGAGAGGTAGGTGGAGGAGTATATAGGGGACAACTGTATAAGGGTGAGGTAGGCGGAGGAGTATATAGGGGACAACTGTATCAGGGTTAGGTAGGTGGAGGAGGATATAGGGGACAACCGTATCAGGGTGAGGTAGGTGGAGGGGCATATAGGGGACAACTGTATCAGGGTGAGGTTGGTGGAGGAGTATATAGGGGACAACTGTATCAGGGTGAGGGAGGTGGAGGAGTATATAGGGGACAACCGTATCAGGGTGAGGTAGGTGGAGGAGTATATAGTGGACAACTGTATCAGGGTTAGGTAGGTGGAGGAGTATATAGGGGACAACCGTATCAGGGTGAGGTAGGTGGAGGAGTATATAGGGGACAACTGTATCAGGGTGAGGTTGGTGTAGGAGTATATAGGGGACAACTGTATCAGGGTGAGGAAGGTAGAGGAGTATATAGTGGACAACTGTATCAGGGTGAGGTAGGTGGAGGAGTATATAGGGGACAACTGTATCAGGGTGAGGTAGGTGGGTGAGGAAAAAAAAGATGGCTGCCTGCTAGCAATCTTGAATTTTGATAATTTAAGATTCATATAATTTATCAGAAAATGCTGGAATGGTCTTTTGACGTCTGTATCTTGGCTCATTTTGACTTGGTTCTTTGTTATGCCAGTTTCATTTTCAACTGTAATAGGAAAAAGATGGCAGACATCTTGAATTTAACTTTTTAAGTCTGAAATCTCAGAAAGTAAAATACAGAACTTAAACAAATTTCATAAGTTTGTTTTTCTTTTTCCCTAGCATATATTTCATTTTGAACTTCAAGCAGTTTATTTAGAACAAAATACAACTGCTATACATTAGAAATCTCTCAGGCTATTTGATACTCGTTATTTTGCTAGTAAAGAGGTCACATGACCTGACTTTAAATGATGTGTCAACATTAAACACAGCTTAAAACACTGCAGTTTGAAGCTTTAATTGAAAGTACCATGAGAGGTTGACTTGACTTAACCCAAAAGATCAGAGGAAAGAAGAGAAAAGATTTCTTGAATGCTGTTTATTTAATGGAAATATTTCATCTTTTGTTTTTCAGAGCACAAAAGAATGAAGACGTTGATGACTGTGATACTTTAGATGATTTTGATAATGATTTCATGTTACGTAACGAAGGTGTTCGCTCTCCAATGAACTCCACCATGATTAGCTCTGTGTCCATGATGTCCTCGTGTGATCCAGCCGCCATCCATAAGATCACGGCAATGGAGGATGAGCTGACGGCTCTGAGAAACCAGATGGCCATGCTTGTACTGATGCAGGAACAAGCAAATCAATCTCAAGGTATAGGTATATTGATTAAAAATAAATTAAAACATAGTGTATTTTGAAGGAATTTTTGATGGAAAAACAAATGAATGAATTTTCTCGCTCTTAACTAGATTGGGTTTTGCCAAAATGTTCATTAAAGGATATATCATGATATTTGTCCAAATATTGTGATATTCATTGCAATATATTGTGATTTTTGGAGACATGAAAAGTGACTTTAAAATTAGAACATAGAAGTTATAAATAAACATGACACAATTCATGCTGAAAAATAATCTTTGTATATTGTATAAGGAAAAGGTTGTTCCACGCAGAACTCTGCCTTTTTGTTAATCACCACCTCTAGTCCATGAGTAGTCCAGCTTCAGGCAGCTTGGAGTGTATAACTGCTATTATCCAATTGTTACAGAGTTATGGCCCTTTATGGATTTGGACGTGCAGTGTCTGCTCAATGAATGCAATACAACAACATGATGATATTGTATTGCAATTTGCATTCATTGCTCTTTTTGAAATTGAAAGATTTCTGCTTTAATATCAATTATCTCCAAATTTAAAAAAAATATCTTGTGGTATACAAACAACTGCTCATTTTAAATGTGACATACGTACATATTAGGTTGATGAGAAAAACAAGATGGCAGCCAGGTGACCATCTTGTCACAAAGTATTTGACAGTTCTTTCCAAAATTTTATAGTTCTTAGTCATGCATGCATGTTTCATTAGGAGAAAGATGAAGAGATTTCGTAGTAGTAAGTATTTACAGCCATGAGATACAGAACTGCCTATAGAATGTAATGGTCAGATGTGTATAGCAGTGTTTGTGTTCATCATCATCAATTTGTTAAGCCAATGTTTCCTGTTTTGTTTCCAGCAGTGTCCTCAAGTGTCTGTGCCACACCAACAGAAAATAGTGCTCCACCCACTTCAACGCCTACAGCAGAATTATTGGACATGTTTACCCCACCCCTCCCTCCTCCCCCACCTTCTTTATATGAGCCCCTGCCCCCTGATTCCCTCGCAGATTGTCTTCCACCGCCCCCAGTCTATTTCGGTGTGTCCATGCCGCCTCCTCCACCTGCAGCTCCAGTCACTCCGAGTTCTAAAAGTTCACAGGACATGTCGACACCACTTCAGCCCACAGTTCTAGCAGACAAGATGAATGTAAGCTATCAGCTGTTAGTAATCAATGTTTATAGTTCCCTACCAGTATAACTGGGACAAGTATGTTTTATTGATATGGCTATGCTAGTTACAGTTTGCTACCAGTATAAGGTGAATATCTTTTCTTGCTTGTTAATTTTGGGTGACAGCAACTCCTTACCAGTATGACTGAGACCATAAAAACTTAGATGACTATAGTCCTTACCAGAAAAGTTTTATTAACTATATAGTTCTTGCTTCACTACTAAAGCTTGGATAACCATAGTCCTCAACAGTAAAGCTTGTGTGACTAGTCCTCAACAGTAAAGCTTGTGTGACTAGTCCTCAACAGTAAAGCTTGTGTGGCTGTAGTCCTCAACAGTAAAGCTTGTGTGACTGTAGTCCTCAACAGTAAAGCTTGTGTGGCTGTAGTCCTCAACAGTAA